TCAATGGTAAAGCATATGGATCCGAGTCACTGTGGATCAGATCAGTCCAATGGTAAAGCATGTGGATCCGAGTCACTGTGGATCAGATCAGTTCAATGGTAAACCGTGTGGATCCAAGTCACTGTGGATCAGATCGGTTCAGTGGTAAAGCATGTGGATCCGAGTCACTGTGAATCAGATCAGTTCAATGGTAAAGGGTCTGGGTGTTTTGTCCTCTGCTGAATCTGAGAACCGGTCATATTCTGAAATAAGGTGATGTTCATTTTGCTTTAGAGCAGCGGTTCTCAACCTGTGGGTAGCAACCCCTTTGGGGATTGAACGACCCTTTCACAGGGGTCGCCAGATTCATAACAGTATCAAGATGACAGTTATGAAGTGGCAACAAAAATAATTTGATGGTTGTGGGGTCACCACCAATGAGGAACTGTATTAAAGGGTCACGGCATTAGGAAGGTTGAGAACCACTGCTTTCGAGGGTGAGAACAATCCAGGAGGAATGGCATTCTAGATAGAGCTCATACAGAGCAAGTGTGGCTTGAAGCCTACGCTCTCTGAACCCAAATTTCCTGCTCAGCTTGAACCCCAAGCTCCCTTGCCAACTCTCCTTCCAGCCGATCTGACTGGGTAAGGCAGGGTGCTGTTCAAGAGCTGGTTCCCTTTGGATTCACCATTCATGGCATCAGTGAGTGTGTGTGTGCAGGTTGTTCATTGTATGTATACATTAATTTTTTAAATTCTAAGTTGTGCTGATCATTTCCCGGCTGTAGATTTAGGTACATTGTTTTTCAAATCTTTGTGTGTATATATATATATATATATATATATAAAGTTTTATCCATGTATCCATGTTGTTCGGTCAAAACTTTATATATATATATATATATATATATATATATATAATCCTCTTCAAATACCCATTCACAAAATGTTGAAAGGATGACCGAGATAGGGGGAAAAAATTGCCATTCTGAAGCCATCACTGTATAATTGATTCCAACAAGATTATCAATGGCCACTAACCTCATTGGGTCAAAGTTTAGTGAAAAACACAACATTTACATCATCTCAAGGTACCTCCTTACAGAGCACTTATTAACCACAGTATGAAAACTGTTCATTTTACAGTGTAGAAACTTGGCAGGACCCCCACCTTAACCAATGGATCCAAGTTCTGACCAGTAAGGGGACAAATGGAGCATGTGTGTGTGCACTTGATGGTATGCACTAAGAAGAATGTGGCATGGCTCACATCGCCCAAGGGCCTTAACCACCCAGATCTGATGAAGCACGTCCAACAAATCCAAAGTCAAGGACACTCCAAAAACACCGGTCTGCATTCTTCATGATCGTCTAGCATGGAGCACAAAGAACGGCTAAGGAACTTTCTCAGGCGAAGAAAATGGGAGCCATCTCTTCCAAATGCAGTCAATGGTTCCAGACTCCAGTAGGTTGGAAGAATAGTTGGTACAAACGGCATTATAAAGGTCAGGTATTCTGTTAGTTTTAAAATCCCTTGACTTTATGTAGTCCAGGTAGAAAACCTACTACTGCAGATTTTCCAGCAGTGAAGGGATTCCAGAATGTTGAACTTTCAGTTGCTAAAACCAGGGAAGTCCTGGACAAATCGGAATGAGCTATATTCCAAATACAGGAGTCAAATTCACTACCATCAAGTCACAGCTACCCCACAGAACTGGCTTTGTGGGTTTATGAGGGGGTAAATCTTGATGGGATCAGAGATCCTCATCATTCTGATGTGGATTCAGATTCAGCATGCGGATCATCCTCAGCACTTTGTGGGTAACTGACATTCACATTATTGAAGCAAAACTATCCTCCATGTACAGTAAGCACAAATCCGCTTGAAAATATCACATTTGCATAGTTGATTGTTGTATTACCATCAATAAGTTTTGCACCTGTAAAAAGCAGAATGACAAAAGTTGTGTGATAGTGATATTTACCAGGACAAAAAAAGAGTAGCTACTGAAGCTGCCTATGTTCAACCAAAAACCTCTTAGAATTCGGTTGCTTGGTTTAGAGGTTTAAGGTCATGATTTCATGTGGCATACCAGTTAATTGGCCCAATAACATGTGTGGTACTTCTTTTCTACCTCCTAGCTCACTGTGGGTTGCGTGGAGTCATAAAAGATGGCATGTGGACATCCAAGACACAGTCATTGGTTTCTATATGCCTGAAGCAGTAAAGGAAGAGGAGGATGTAAAATGCATGGCAAATCACCTCTGTGATTAATTGCCTCTATGCCATGAGACTAAAAGAATTGCATGATGTCCTGCTACCATTTTGGTCAAAGATTCTGCAGAATAATCCTGATCACAAAGAGGGAAATGCAGACCAGAAATTAAAGTTCTCATGGACTCCAGCTCTGGCACCATGGTGGTTGGATGAACTCCTGCAGTGATTTCCCTGAGATTATCTTTATAACAAACAACAGTTTAGTTCATAGGTTCTGAAACTTTGAACTAGAGCCCATGATCCAGAATAAAGTGTAGTTAATCCACTTTACCCCTCAACTTGATCATTCCAGTGCCAGCAGGGGGTGGTATAGCCCACTTTGGGAAAAACTGGTTTAGCTTAACTAATAAAAAAACGCCTGCTTGGAACATTAGGCTCTTTGGAGAACTATTCACTTGGGATCAAATTTACAACAGCAACTTAAAAGACTACTTAAAACCCTAGGGAGCAGTGAATCGATGTTAGTGGGGGAGAAGCAGCTCAGAAAAGGGGGTTGAGAATGGTTATACATGTAGAGTGTACTGAAGGTGTGTAAGCTTTTCTGAGATCTCTCTCTCTCCCTCTCTCTCTCTCCCTCTCTCTCGCTCGCATTGAGTCAATGCTGGCTCGTGGTGACCTTGTAGGACAAGGAAGAACTGCCCTTGGGAGTTTCCCATTAGGAAACTGTCTCCCCCAGACTGGCTGGTGGCGTCAAACTGCTGAACTTGCAGTTAACAGCCCAGTGCATAACCACTATGTCACCAGGGTTCCTGGGTACATTCTGAAGAGCAATAAAATAAAGTATAAAAAGAAGAGGTTACTTGTTTAAAAGACCAAGAATCTCTGATGTATAATGATGCCACAATAGTTCTCCCCTTTAGCGTACATCTAAAGACTGTCTTAATGTTACGGAGGCCGAATAGGAAATGAGGCTTGTGACTGCGTGAACACAGATGTGCACTAGAGAGCCAAGATGGTCTGGAATCGCTCTTGCTGCTCTTTCGGAGGTGATATGTAACTGCTGAGCTTGAGAACCCTCGAGATGCTGGTGCTAGAATCTCTCTTGGCTGTCCGTGGGCAGAGCTGTGACTGTTGTACTTGTTTGTAGCTAGCGTGTGACTTTTCCCCTGGGAAATATCACATGGACCAAAGGGATGGTCACTCAACTAATTGTCGTGGTCGCCATCACCAAGTCTTATGCTGTGAAAAGTTGAACTGGCAAACAATGGCGCATGCACTCTTCAGGCTGCTTGTGCCCAGCCCCACACTTCATGGCATTGCTTCCTTGGTTAGGAGGTTCAGGGGCATGATGGTCTGGGCTCTCCCAGTTATTTGACCTAACATGTTTTCTGCTTCGGGTCTACCTCCAATACTCGCGGCTGTCTGCTCAATGCTGATTCACAGTGACCCATAGGACAGAGAAATGTGTCCCCATTGTGCTTCGGGAGCGGCAGCTGGTGAGTGGGAATCATCGTCTTTCAGTTAGCACCGGAAAGCTCTAACCACTGGACCGCCAGGGCTCCTAAATCAAACAGGAGTAGAGATAACCTAGTCAGAAATGTCTGCCTTGAGCATTCTGCTCTTTTAAGAGTGTCTGTGTAAGATTAAAATGGCAACAGTGACTGGTCAGGTGAGGTAGGAACTGTAGGAGGCAGTGTGTCTGTGTTAATGGGGTGGAACAGCTCAGCGGAGAGGGCTGGGGATGCCTTCAACACACCCGCTCACCCTCACTGTCACTAAGTGGCGCGTGCAGAAACTGTGGTCTGGGTGGATGCTTTGCTGTGAATATTCTCAACAGCAAACTAAATGAAAGTATAGGTTTTAAGAATGGCTTTTCTCTCTGCAGTGCTGGAGATGTGTGACTGAGTGTGCTTTCCCACTCACGATCCAAGTGTGCGCTGTGCGGGCCTGTCAGTCGTACAAGAGCAGAAATTGCCAGCAGCTGGATTACTGACAATATGTCTTTCTTGCAGAAGCAAGTAGACCACTGGGGGAAGTGTTCTATCTCATTGTTTGGGTGTGTTGATCTGACAGCCAGGCAAGTAGATGCAAAAGAATGTATGTAGGGTGTTTGCAATAGGGACTCTCAGCAGGAAAGGGACCCCAAGCCAGTTTAGTTGCTTCATATGTTTTTTAATTCCAAGGATGGAGGGGCTGAGAACTCTCTGTCCGAAGCCAGGGGAAGAGTGTGGGCCGTGGCGGGGGCAGGGTGGGGGGGTTGCTGGAAGCAAGGGTGAATTACTCTGTAAGCAATGTAAACATAGGCTTACTTGTGCTAATTTATTAAGCTATAGTGAACACTTTCACACATTCTTTGTGAAACTGTTCACTGCAGATTAGTAAATAAGCACAAGTAAACCCATGCTTATCCATGCTTACTGGTACTCCAGCCCTAGCAGGGATTATAGATTTGAAAGTTGGTTTGATTCTGTAGGAAAGTAGGGGGTGGTTTGGAAGAGAAACAGATTCGAGCCATAACTAGAATCTTGCTGTGGTGGGGGAAAGGTGAAATTGTTCTCTGTAGACCAGTAAGTACGTACAAGTGAGACCGTGCTTCCTGTGCGGATCAGGTATTTTGGCGCGGGGCACGAGAGAGGCCCTCCTGGGCGATAACTCTGATAGAATCGTGTCTGTCTCCTCGATCTCCTGACGGGCTCATGCACATCATACCCCAAGTTCTTCAGGGTCCTGGAAGGTGCAAGGGTCGCTCTCGCCTGTATGCACGTGGAGAATATTCACTCGCTCTCCTTGGTTTCTTGGCCAGGTCACAGACATAAAAGAGAAACTGAAGCTCTCTAAAAAGGTCTGGTCGGCTTTGCCCTACACCATCTGCCAGGACGAGAGCGTGACGGCGGGCACGTCCAACGAAGAGGAATGCTGGAACGGGCACAGTAAAGCCAGGTGAGGAGGGGCTGGCTGTTCAGATGGACAGGGGCATTTCACATCTTGCCTTGGGAGACTCTCCTGGCACCACCCCGCAGACCTGTTTATGGAAAAACAATGGCGGGTGGAGGGACAAGCCGTCACTTGGTGACAGCTGTTCAGAGTGACAGGTTTGATCGGCACCTGGGGACACTTCATGTTCTCTCGAGGTGCCATGAAGCGTGCAATTCTCCTTCTGCATGCGTTGCCTCTGGATGCGGACAGGGATGGTGACAGATGCCGGGGTTACAGACGTGCCCTGTTATGTTCCCTTAATGACTCTAAGAGACTGCAGCTATTTTTATCTCTAGTCAAACTTGCGCTGCTCTTGTCCTCACCATCACAAGTTAAAGCCCAAATGAAAATGTAGCTGTAATTTTCTCTATCATCTGAGAGGTGCAGGGGGGCAGGGGGAAGCTGCAGTGTGCTTTGGAAGGGTCAAAGAAAATGACGGAGGGGCCACTAGGGAAGGGCCCCGTGCTTTGGGAAGTCCCATCACAATGTCATGATGAGAGCTGGATGCCTCTCTGTCTTCATTCTGCTTTGCTGATCCGTAGGACTAGCAGTTCATAAAGCATTTCTCCAGCTCTTGATGCAGCCTGGAAGTGGCCGTGGCCTGGGCTGAGAAGTTGGATGGGGAAACTGGTTGGGGGTTGGCTTGGCAAGACACCAGGTGAGGAGTCTGCCTGAGCCCTGCCAGTAGGGTCGCAAGTGGGTAGAGCAGCTGGTAAATTGGACTCAAACAATCTTTGGGGGCTGACCAGCAGGCAGAGAAGCTAAGAGGGGAGTCTATTCTGAGGCCTTGCTGGGAGGTTTTGATCTTCTGCAGGAGCTGTGATCCAAAGGGATCAGGCAGTAGGTGGATATTAGGGTCTTGGGAACCTGCGTACAGTAAGGCAGGGTGCCGATGAGGAGCTCATTAGGCGTTATCTCTGCAGAGTTGCACATTTTAGCATCGATTGGTAATGACACTATCAAGCAGACTGAGAAGAGCTTAACAAGGGGAAAATAAGAGGACTGCAGCAAACGGTGTCATCATTTCCAGTTGTCCCCCCATACCGATATCTGGTGTTCAGATCAGAAGAGTACAGAAGGAAATTCATGATCATTAGCAACATATCATTCAAAAACACTGTGTGAGTGATCAGCGCTGGGCCTTTTAGGAAGGAGACTTTGGCTGGCAAATTCTGCGGCGAATGACCAACTTGGAATGGGCCTTTTCCTCCTGATTGTGCCAAGGCTATCCAGACAACCTAATGGGGGCAGTGCTGGATACCACAGGCTGCACCATGTCCCTGCAGCCTGGGATGGGAACGCATTCCCATCGATAGTTGGGCAGGCTGCAAGGTGCACTGTGTGAGTACTTCGTTACAAAGGCACATTGAATTGCAAAGAGGGGCAGGACCGGGAGGACCCCAGGCTCCATCCAGAAGATGAATTCAGAAGATAGGAACCCGTGGACTTAGAGCCAGAGGAAATTGGAATGGTTTGGCTATGTTTCCCATTGAACAGGCTAAAAGGAGCTCCAACATGACCCAGTGCACAAAGTGGACAGCAACACTGGTGTCTGAACCCCTAGCCCAGTAGTCGCTGTGCTGTGCTACTCCGCCTCTAAACAAACGACACAACATGGGTCACCAGCGGCCCAGCAGAAAAAAGCCCTGGTGAACTGCTTCCATAAAGGTTACCGCCAAAATGGGACAGGAGAATTGTTCTACTTTATCACATGCCAGAGAAGTATGGATTAGAATCAATTCAACTGGTAATGGATTTGATTTCTTTTTTTAAATGCAAACTAGGAGAGTTGAATAAAACAAATTCTTACTTCTATAAAAGATTTAGAGAGTCAACTTTACTTTGTTCCTTCCATCAATCCACCAGCAATCTTATTAAGCCGCCCTTCTGCCCCAGGCACTACGGAAGGCTCAGAGAATCAAGTGCTTATAAAACGGCAATGGATTCAATCCATGCAGAGACGCAGTGGATGGGCAGAGCTCAGTGGGTCTGGAAACTTCTAGTGAGGGGTGGTTGAGCTGGAGGTGTGGGAAAGGACTGTATAGATGGAGAAGGACCTGGATTCATAGAGCAGACTTGAATGTTAGCCTATTTCCAGTGGTCAAGTTGTCCTGATGGCATAGTGGTTATGCATTGAATTGCAATCCACAAAGTCAGCAGTTTGAAACCACCAGCTGGTATGCAGGAGAAAAAGAGGACTTTCTACTCCCACAAAGAGTTACTCTCTTGGAAAATCAGAGTGGCAGTTCTACACTGTCTACAAGGTGACTAGGAGTTAGAATTGACTCGATGGCTGTGGGTTTGCCTGTTTGTTTGTATCAATGGGAAGCAACTGAAAACTTTTATGTAGATGAAGGAAACGATGAAGTTAATACCAAAAAAAAAAAAAGGATCTGCAAAAAGATTCTATAAGTTCACCCAATCCTTGTATTATGTAACTAATATGTTGTTTAAAAAGATGAGGTGGTCAATTTTTTTTTAACCTAAATATTGCTTCCATTGAAAATTTTTATGATTTGTTTTAGTTACTTTTAAAGAAAACATTCTTCCACTGGAAGGTAATCTTAATACTACAAATTTATTTTAATACCATAGTAAGTAGGTAAGTAATTAAGCTCTCGAATTAAATTTAAGCTATTTTTCACTAAAATACCAGGAAACTCATGCCTAAATGCATGTAAGAAATCCCCCCTTTTAAAAAAATGGTATTGAGTTATTTTGTAAATTGAAAAATCTAGTTATATAAGGGTACATTTTTAATATTGCCACTAGCACTATAGAGCATACATGCACAGCTTTCTTCCAAACAAAACATGGTTACACGTGTCTCATTCTTCAGTGGATGGCTGCAGACAAGTTCTCAGTAATATCGTAATCTTGTTAGGTTGTCTTCAACAAAAATCCCATCAAAATCGTAGCTTCCAAGAAGCCCTGGTGATGCAGTAGTGACACACTGGGCAGAGAGTTGCCTGGTTGGCTGTTCGAAATGACCAGCTGCACTTCAAGAGAAAGAAAGTGCTTTGTCCTCCTGTAAACAGTGACTGTCTCAGGGGTCGCTATAAGTCAGCATTAATCGGATGGCAGTGAGTTTGAATCAAAATGAGAATCAGAATGAAAAAAAAATGTTCAAAAATTGGAAAGACGAAGCTTTCTACTCCCTAGAGAGTTGCAGTCTCAGAACCCCACAGTTGCTCCTGACCTAAAGGTCTGCTTTGAGTGGCCATGGACTGGACGTCGGTGAACTTGGGGTGTCTGGTTGCTGTTTTGGCTTAAGGAGAGCTGCGGTTGCAGTGGAACTCCAGGCAGAGAAGCCAGCTCAGAAGGTTATGGCAACTGTTTGGGGGCCTCCACGGGGATCATCTTGATAGACGGTCCTGAAAGACAGAACTGGAGCTGATTAGGGGGCATTTTTTTTTTTTTTCTTTTTTTTTTTTTTTTAACATTTTATTAGGGGCTCATACAACTGTTATCCCAATCCATACACACATCAATTGTGTAAAGCGCATTTGTACATCGTTTCTCAAAACATTTTCTCTCCATTTAAACCCCCGACATTAGGTCCTCATTTTTCCCCTCCCTCCCCGCTCCCCGCTCCCGCATGAGCCCTTGATAGTTTACAAATGGGTATTTTGTCATATCTTGCCCTGTCCGACTTCTCCCTTCATCCACTTTTCGGTTGTCCATCCCCCAGGGAGGAGGCCACACACAGTTCCATGCAATTGGTTCCCTCTTTCCTACCCACTCTCCCTCCACCCTCCCTGTTTTGCCACTCACACCACTGGTCCTATAGGGCTCATCCATCCTGGATTCCCTGTATTTTCAGTTCCTATCTGTACCAGTGTACCTCCTCTGGTCTAGCCAGTCTTGCAAGATAGAATTCGAGTCATGGTAGTGGGAGCGGGGAGGAAACCTTTAGGAACTAGAGGAAGGTTGTATTTCTCATCATTGTTACATCGCACCCTGACTGGCTCATCTCCTCCCCGAGACCCCTCTGCAAGGGGATCTCCAGTGGCCTACTAATGGGCTTTGGATCTCCACTCCACACTCCCCCCATCATTCACTATGGTAAGATTTTTTGTTCTGATGATGCCTTACACCTGATCCCTTCGACACCTCGTGGTTGCATAGGCTGGTGTGCTTCTTCCATGTGGGCTTTGTTGCTTCTGAGCTTGATGGCCGCTTGATTACCTTCAAGCCTTTAAGACTAGGGGGCATTTTAAGAATGAGAAACCTGCACTGGTGAGAGAACGGACAGGGCATTTGTACTGAGAAATGGTTTTCCATCAGGACAATGTACCTGCTCATTTTTCAAGGGATGCAAGGGCTGCCCTGTAAGAATTTCATTAGGAAACCTTACCTTATCCGCCCTCCAGCCCTATCTTGCTTCTTCTGACTTTGTTTTGTTTCCCAAACCCAAAGAACAGTTAGGAACATGCTTCAAGTCCCTCGAGAATGCCAAGCCTGCCATTCTGCCATTGGTGTAAAATAGCAGAACCAGGAATTGTTCAGGGAAAGCTTCGAGAGATGAAAACCACGCCTTCAGGGTTTTATAAACCCAGATGGAAGATCTGTCCAGAAATAATAGTTTCACATGATGCTATTCCTGTTAAGAAAAGATTCTATGATTTTGTAACAATATTTTTTACTGACCTTCTTAATGCTGCTCATTTCCCCCCTATTTTAGAAGTATGGATTTTCAGAGGAACAACAACAACAATAAAATCAAACTCACTGCCCTGGAGTTGATGCCAACCCAATAGTGACCCTACAACAGGGGGTTGACCAGCTCCTGAGACTGCAACTGCTCACTAGAGTAGAACATACCCTCTTGTTCCCCTGGAGCGGCCAGTGGTTTTGAACTGCTGACCTTGTGCTTAGCAGCCCCACTCAGAACTCTAACTGTGCCCCCAGGGCTCCCGTTAGAGCTACTGGTGCCTTGAAATCCATCAGCAGACGTGACTGGA